AGAAGAAGAAGAAGAAGAAGAAGAAGAAAGGGAGGGGGAGAGGGGGGAGGGAGAAGGAAAGGAAGCTGGCATTGCCAGCTTTTGTTACCACCTGGGTAAGGACAGGGCACACGCTGGCAAGTGTCCACCAGCACCTTCTCTCTTCCATCCCTTCCCTGCTGGCCCCATTTGGGCTTCACTGGATCTCCAAGTTGATCTTCTTCCATGAATTCAAAGATACAGCCGTGTTAGGTTATAGAATCAGTATGCAAAAGGATCTTTTGCAGCACCTTTGAGACTCACTGAAAGAAAGAAGTTGGCAGCATGAGCTTTCCTAGACTTTAGTCTACTTCCCCAGATGCATATGGAGGAAGTAAACCATATGCATCATCTCAGTAAGTAGACTTGAGTTTACGAAAGCTCATGCTGCCAACTTCTTTCTTTCAGTGAGTCTCAAAGGTGCTGCAACATCTCTCTACATACTTCCTCCATGAAGTTCCTCTTCCACTCAGGGCAGTCAGTTCCTAACAGGACCATCGCCTCTGCCAGTTTACTCCAAAGGAAGCCCCGTTGACTTCCACGGTGTTTACCTCTGGGTAAAATGGACACTGTGGGTGCATCTGCACTGTAGAAATAATACAGTTTGACACCGTGTCAAGTGCTATCGCTCCATGCTATTGGAACCCTAGGATTTGTAGATTTACAAGGTCTTTAGCCCTCTCTGTTAAAGAGGGCTGGTGCCTCACAAAACTACAAAACTCAGGATTCTGTACTACTGTAGCCATGGCAGTTAAAGTGGTGTCAAACTGCATTATTCCTATAGTGCGGATGCACTCACAGTGTCCATTTTACAGGAAAGAGAACCAGTGTGACACAATAGTTTGAGTGTTGGACTAGGACTCTGGAGACCAGGGTTCAATTCCCAGCCCAGGCCATGAGACCACCTAGGTGACCTGGGCAAGTCACATGCTCTCAGCCTCTGGGGAAGGCAATGGAAAGCCTCCTCTGAACAAATCTTGCCATGAAAACCCCATGATAGGACGTTATCACACGGGGTCTAAAGCAGACAGAACCCCATCCCATCCCTGTCCCATTGCGGTTCCTTTGCCCCTGTGTTCACACGACGTCACAGGGAACCCCCTCCCATCCCCCTCCCATTGTGGCATCATCCCCGTTCTTTTGCATGCCGGTTTCATTGGGAATTACATTTGCGCAACCAGAAGCATACCGGAATGATGCTGCTTTCGTTCATTCCGGAATGATGCTAGTTGCTAGAGACCCGCGTGTGAAAACGTCCATAGAGTCACCATAAGTTGTAAAAGACTTGAAAGCACACAACACATGCAAGCACCATGGAAGCAAAGGAGACTTCCTTCTGAGTAGATTAGCAATTGCCCTGCTGGCTGAGGGTTGCAAAAGTAGGGGGTGGTTGGATATGAACTGCCATAGCTGCTGACCCCCGCCCTTACTTTGAATCAAGATCTCTGCCACTTCCAAATTAATGCTCCCAGCAGAATTTGTCACAATGATCATGGTGGCTTCTGCATGTTCATGTGCTGCACATCCCAGAACCTAGATGGACTACCAAAGTTCAAATGCTCTAGCCACAGAAGGATGAGAAGAGAATCTTATGTGACATCCCTGTGTGGTATAGGTTTTCACAGCTCTCTTACAGTCATTAAGTTCCCACAAGCTGGTGGTGCCTCCCCATGCTGAACTATAACTCCCAGCACATTCAGCAAAGATGGCTCATGATGGTTAGGATGGTGGGGGCTATAGCGTTATTAGTTTCAGCAATGCTCACACTGTTACTACTGTCATCATCATTACCACCACCTCCCATTACAGCCCAGTACCAAGCATATTTGCTGGAGGCTCCCCTGTATGCAGCATACTTAAGGTTGCAGCTTGAGTCTCAGATGCCACAATAGTCTTTGCCTCCATGCAGCTACAGTACAAACAAACTGGCCTTTTCCACAATCCCCCACCTACAAAGGACACGAACAAGAAAAGGGAAAAAAGCAATTTTGTTTCTGCCCACGCAGGGACATTTTGTGTGCCTGTTGCTGAGACACTGAGTCAGAAAGCTCCTTGGATGCATATGTAAGACCAAAACCTTTCACTCCTCCATAACAAATCAAATGTGCTCACCATTCTCTGGGTTTGATATCCACAGCAATAAATACTATTTGAAATCTGGCTGAATTCACAGCAGTGTCCATGAAGAGAAAGTGCAAGTGCGTGCAAAACTGATCCACTCCTTTGTCCTCTTAAATTGTCAGGTGTTTTATTTTGCAGGGGGATTGTGTATGTGTGCTGAGGTTGTTCGTGATTTAATAATAGTTGATGAATTAAATTGACAATCAGTGACCTTGAATTCTTGAAGTCACTTAATTCTAGGCCATCAATACCAATTATTTCTACATTGTAAAAATAATGCAGTTTGACACCACTTTAAGTGCTGTAGCTCCATTCGATGGAATCCAGGGGTTTGTAGTTTTATAAGGACTTTAGCTTTCTCTGCCAAAATGTGCTGGTGCCTCACAACACTACACATCCCAGGATTCCATAGGCTGGAAACAGTTCAAGTGGTGTCAAACTGCATTATTTTTACAGTTCAGATGCACCCCAAGACCCCCAACTTTTGTCAATGAATCCCAAAATGTTCATGGCCAAGTTATGCCTTGATTTTGACATTCTGATGAAGAATCTGGTGGATTTTTTTCAGAGTACCAATATGTATCATAGTGGATTTATCAGTGATTTTTTCTTCTGCTCTGAGCAAATCAGATTAGACTTTGCTATCTTCCTTCTTCAATTCTTTTACCATCCATTGGCATCAGTGCCCTATGGACCCCAACCTTCTTTCCCAGTCTCACCAAAGACTCTCTCTTCTAAAATCATAGTGAAATCCCAACATTTACAACCCAAAGCAAGCAGACATATATAATTTGCATCTTGTATCCAATCAAAATAATTGTGCTTTCTAGACATTTTTAAAGCAAAGGCCCCCCTGGCTTTGAGCTCCTTGGAGCACAATTTGCCAAAGGCAGACTCCTACATCTATAACCACATCTCCATGGCAGCCAGCTGCTAATTTATTACATTTATGTATATTGTGGTTGCCACCTCTTCAAGAGAACAGAGGAGGGGAGGGGAGGTCGTTGTGGTGGTGGTGGTGGGGAGAGACCCATACTCATTTGTATATGTTAATCCAGTAAAAATGGATGCAAACTTATTGTCTCACATTGAGGCTAAGCTTCTGAAAAAATGGAAAGGGGGGAAGGGAGCAGGAATAAAAGAATAGTCAGGCCTAGCCAGTATATAGAACTAGTCAGGTGGCAATCTGCATGCAAATTTAAAACAGAACATTAAGGTGGTACTAAAATACCCATCAGGTGGTAGCCTTCATAACAACTAAGCTTTTGGAAAATAATGGTTAGTCACATCTCTATATCTCATCTAATGGGAGGAGGAGAAAAGGTGCTGGGAAGGCTTTCTGGTCTTCCTCTCCCCAGACGTTGTTGCACTGCAGTTCCTAGCAGTTCTCACCATTGGATCTGCTGGCTAGGACTGATGGGAAATGCAGTTGATAACAGAACTCAGAGCCAGCCCTCAGGATACTTATGTCCTCCATTCATCAGCTCTGTCTTCCCCCTGTTGCAGGCAGAGCACATGTCAGAATCCATCTGAGAAAGAACAAAACAGGACAAATACAGCCGCTCTCATATCTTTCACCCATCATGTGGACATGCTGGCCAGTCCCCTTTTCCACCAGTTCTAGTGTCCAGCAAAGGGAAGGAATGTGTACACACGGGCACATCGCACCACCACTGCCAGTTACCAATGCCTTGTATCTTACCAGATAGCCTTC